AAGAAAAAAATTGATTAAGTGGATGACAGCGCTAAAAAGTAAACTAAAAGATACAAAGAGATATGGGTTCTATAAAAGGGAGGATTAAACACACAAAAAACAAGATAAAATGGTCCACCTTCTCTCTAGTGGGAAGTTTAGGAGGAGAAATGTGGAGTGGAAGAAAAGAGAGAAAAATTTCAAAATTTCAGAAGTTTTGAAAATTCATAATTCTTCAGAGTTACGAAGCACAATGAATCCTAAGGGGGAAGCACAAAGCAACACACACACACACACACACACACACACACACACGCACACACACACACAAATTATGTTGACATTTCCTAATGCCAAAGGTAAATGATAACCTGGTGGGAAAATGCAGATTAGCTTTAAAATGGAGCAACAATTAGACCGACAGCTGACTTCTCCAAAGTGGGACTGAAGCAAAAACTTAGAGAAAGAATAGATTCAGCACGGTGGAATGAAACAATGGTCAGCCTGGAGCATCCAGCTGACCCACTATTAAAAAGTGAGGGCAAAATCTTAGAAAAATAAACACTAACCTGAGAATTACAGTCAATAGCAACTATTAAAAAGGATTTCTGCAGGATGGACTTCAGTGTGAAGAAAATAAACTAATATGAAGCACGGGTTTAATGCAAGAAGAGCGATGAACAAAGACATTGTTAATGTGTCAGTCCATCTACACACCTGTCACCTTTACATTTGTTATATATCATAATATTGACTAAAGTAGTGGGAAACTTAAGGTGGAATTCAAATAGCCACACCAACAAAGTGGAAGTCAGAAGAAGGTTATTTTGATTAGAATATCTTAGGCTGGCATTGAAGGGATGGCTCAGTGACTGAGAGTACCAGCTATTCTTCCAGAGGACCTGGGTTTGGTTTCCAGCACATGGCAACAAACAACTGTCCTTAATGCCAGTTCCAGAGAATCTGACACTCCTCTTCTGGCCTCTGTGGGCATTGCATGGCATGGTGAACTTATATGCTGGCAGATAAAACACTCATACACATAACAAAAATAAATTAATTAAAAAATAATTTAAAAGTCTTAGGTCATTTTGGAAAGAGATCAAAAAGACTAACTTCCAACTTTAAGGTAAATAGGAATGTTAGACTGTTAAAATGTATAAAAGAATAAAAACAAAGTATAACTATCACACTTAAGAAAAATACACTAAGCTAAATTAAAGAGGCCAGGAAGCGGTATAGCAAAGGTACAGTAAAGATAGAGACTAAATATGATGTTTGATTAAATCCAAATAACTTGTAATGATTGAAAATACAAATGATCTAAAGTCACTAATCAAAAGCAGATTTCACATTAGATTTAAAATGAAGAAATCTGGCTATATGCTACTGAAAGATCAACACTCAAGATAAAGAAAGGCTGACAACAGGAGGAAGTACAAAGGTTTACCAAGAAAGTATTAAGCACAAGTTAGTGTAGGTGTACTGACATCAGACCAAACAGATGTGAAGACAAAGACTATCGCTAGAAATAAAGAGACTTGTCGCAAAATTGTATTTCTAAATCACCAGGAATTCTAAGTTTTCTCTCTAAGATTTTATACTTATTTTCATTATGTGTATGTGCATATGTCTGTGTGTGGTTTGTGCACATGCATTCAACGCCATGGAAGTCAGAGGAGGGCGCCAGATCCCCTGAAGCTGAAATTAAGGCCCTCTGCAAGAGCAATACATGCTCTTATTTGCTGAGCCATTTTTTTTTTTTAGTCCCAGGAATTCTGTTTTTAAGGTTAAAATAAAAATACTGTCCTTAAAACACATAAAATAAAAATTGACAGACTTGCTAGTACATTCAAGATCACAGGAAAGTGCACTTGTTAACATCTTCTGGTAAAGTATAGTTCTTTATGACTTTCTACCTGTCTGCCTTGTTAGTCTCCTACTGTAACATAGTCCACATTTAATCTTTTTTGACTGTTTCTTTTTTTTTATTCAAAGTTACATTTTTAATTTTTAAGCTTATTTTTATTTTATGTGTTTGAGTGTTTTGCTTGCTATATGTAAGTGCATGAGATGCTCACAGAGACCAGAAGAGGGCCTTGGATCCAGTGGAACTAGGTTACGAATGGCTGTTAACCATCATGTGGGTACTGGGAACTGAACATAGGTACTCTGCAGGAGCAGCCAGTGTTCTTAACTAATAAGCCATCTCTCCAGCCGCTTTCACAGTTATATTTTAAAGTGCAGAGAAACACATAGTACATAGCAGCTGCCTAATACACTTGTTGAATTGTTTGAATTATTCAAGATGAAAATAGTAGCAGCAACAGAGCGTGACAGAGCCTCAGCAAGCGTGACCCAGAAATGCTCATGGAACCTGCATTTCATAGCTAGTGAAGATGCACTCTGAAACACGCACAAAATACTTGTGAAAACTCTGTGACAGACAATGTGTTCTGACCACAATACAATTAAGTTAGAAATAAACAGCAACTGAACAATAAAAGTCTATGTATTATAAAACCTAAAACACATTTCTAACTAACTCAAAGGGAAAAAATCATAGTGAAGATTAAGGGACAGAACTGAATACTAATCCAAACATCACATTCAAGATTTGTGGTAAGAGCCAAAGACAACACAGGGGGAAATAAGAATAAAATCAGATGAGCTACACTTTTAAATGAGGAACCTAGAAAAAGGGAAAAAGACCAGCAAAATTAACACAAAGAACATAAAAGGAAAGAATTAAAAAGAAGGGATTATTGAAATAGAAAAGTACACCAAACAAAGAATCAAAAGCCCCAAAAGTTGCTTCTTTGAAAATAAGACAAAACTCTGACAAGTATGATCATGGAGGGTTGGGGGATGAGGCTTAATATTAGAAATAAAAGACGCTAAACTTCAGATACATCAGAAATGTTTTTTAAAAAAATAGAAAAATTAAAAAACACTTAAGACTAATTTATTTTAAAACAAATGGAATTTCAAATTTCCTAGTCAAAGTATAATTTACCTAAACTGATTGAAATACAATATATATCTATACCAATACATAATCATTAAACAATGAAATCACTACCAACAGTCTCTTTATCACAAATGCTTTCCAGGAAAGGAGGGACTCACGAATCCCCACCCCTAACTTGAGGAGCTATTAACAATTGATGGCATCTGTGGGAGGGGAAGGGAGAGTCAGTTTTCTTTAGGAGTGTGGTTCCTGGTAGGCCAACCACACTCCAGTGAACATCCCTATGTAAGAATACTGGGAGCACAAGTTGGACTTGGTGGGTTATAAAAATAAAAAAAAGATACAAAGTTGGTAAGGGCTAGGGAGGCAGGAGGTGTAAGGGGAAGTATTGTAGGTAAATAGGAATTAGTATGATCAAAATGTATCATATACATGTAATGAAACCCTCAAAGAATTAAGAAAAAAAAATTACAAACACTTTCTAGGAAAGATGATTTTAGTAGTGACTTCCAATAAGTAGCCAATTAATGATTAATCCCAGTTTTAAATAAAATGTATATGAGTGTTTTGCCTATATATATGTAAGTGCATGAGATGCTCACGGAGACCAGAAGAGGGCCTTGGATCTCCTGGAAATGAGATGTTTTAACACTGTCTTATAGTTATATTACACACAAGCCATTTTGTAAACCAAGCCTTCCAGGGTGAGGGATCATTCCCTTCAGTTTGACTTCCTGTTTGGAAGTACTCTCTCCCTCTGAACACATGGGAACTACTTTAGGATCTTCAGATTCTCCAAGACTCTGAGGAAGGCCTGTGATCAGTTCTGAGCTTGGCTCTAGATGGCAGAGCCACTGTTATTCTAAGAAGTCTTGGTATTCTTTACCATTTTCAGAGGGTTTTTTTTTTTTTTTTTTTTTTTTGGTTTTTGTTTTTTTCCCATAAGCTGCTTTCAAATAACACTAAATCTTCTACCAAAAAATTCGTTGGAGAGTAGTATTTAATTTTCTTTCCCCTTGATTCTTTAAATGATTTGCTCTTGTGGTTTTTTCCGAGTATTTTTGAATTCTGAGTCACTCTGAGCAACTGACTGGGAATGTAAGTAGAAGCCTTCTGTTTTGCTATTTTGATTAACTGTGTGATTGACCCTGGGCCAGTCACTGAACCTAATCGAGTAACTTCATTCATTGCTAAATAAAGATAAAATGCAGCCTGGAAACATGGGTTAAAATTAGATCCTGCCACCTAGTGACTCACTGTCTCATTAATTTACTCACACCAATTGGGCTTTTCCTGTAACATTTCCATTTGGGGTTTTAAAAAAAAGAAACCTTTATTATTTTTGCCTGACTACATCCCATTTCCACCTATGCCATCCTCTATTACCTCTGTTTGGTTGTTTAACTTTCCTGATTAATTTCAATGAACCACCGTGGCACTCTTGTGACGGCAAGCTCATAATCAGGTATTGATATCATCCAGGAGCAAGCGAAAGAGAAAAAAGAAGGTAAAGTAGAAGCAGAGTCTTGATTCAGTTTCCAGCTCCTGTCTCAGGTCTGAATTGTGGGGTTTTAAGAAAGTCTCTACGCTATGCTTTCTAACTTATAAAATGGTAATCCATGCCTCTCCATCTTTTTAACCCCCTGAACAATTGTTAGGACGGGGATTCGCTAAGTCACGGCAAGGAAGACTACAAGGTAGTAAAATGCAGCCTGAAGAAATGAGGCAGCAAGATTTCAGTGCCTGCTGGAAAACCAGGAGATAAACCAGTATTTGAAGATCTTTCTGACTCTATGTTTTAATCTTTTAAAGTCATAACCCATGTTGGAAATTAAAAATACAAAATAACGGTAAGGAAAGGCGGTAGAGGGTCACATGCCTATAATTCTGACCTTTGAAGGTAGAAGCAGGAGGATCAGGAGTACAAGGCCAGCTTTGGCTACACAGTGAACACCAGGCCAGTTGTGATAAGTGAGATCCTGACTCAAAAACAAAGAAAAAGTGAAAGGAGAGAAAAATTCTGAACATAAAAGATGCTTTGCTCTCTTACCTCTGCTCTGTATTAAAGAGTGCAAAGATGTGCTTGCTAGACATGAAGCCCTTTTCCACATCTCGGACTTTCAGGTTATCCAACGGAAGCATATATTTCTTTTCTTTTTCCTGTTGTAACATGGGTAGGGGAGAAAAAAAAAGAGGACTTTTAATAATATATCACATCAATGGCCACATACCACCTAAGTTGGCTAACATTTGAGAACACTTGATTACATTATCTTGACACCATCAGACACTTTGACACCAGCTACCAAGAAATACAAGTTAGCTGAGACAGGCGATTCCAGTGATTCTCAACACGTGGGTTGAAAAAAAAATGGGGGTGGGGGAAGGATGCTGAGATGCAAAAAACACGGGCCCTCTATCCTTTCCCCCTCATGTGGGTCCCCTTAGATGTTTTTAAATGTTAGTTTGATATTAAGAATTTAGCCATCTGTTAATATTTAACAAAAATGTTCTGGTCCTAATTCAATGAGAAATGCCACATGGATTTCATTTCATGTTTTATTTGCAGTCTAAGCAGTTTTGATAGCCAGCGCTGGCAGGAGAGTGTGGAAGCACGAGGACCCTGGTATGAAATCCGCCCCCCCCAAACTATGATACAGTACAGAAAACAGTTCCTTCATTTGGGTCTAGAATTAAAGCACAGGTCCAGAAAAAATAATTCTCCTATAAAACTCATAGAATTTTTTTTTAACTGTTGGGGGAGAAAAAAATGAACCCATTAAAATTATACTGATATTAATTAACACAAGTTCTCTTTTGACATAAACAGTTCTTTATGAAGACCATGGATTTTGGAAAGGTGAGGTTTGCAAACATGACCAAATTGTTAGTAAAACACATTGAATGCCAAAGAGTTACCAGAAACATTTACTTTCAAGGGCTGGCCTGGGAACAATATCATGTGTATAAATGCCTATCAACCAGTATAACAGGCAAGAGTCAAATATTCAGCTTAAGAAACTTAGTAAAAACTGATTACCAGATCACATTAGCCCAGTTAGCACAGGACATGTTGCTAAACAGTAGTTCTCATAGGAAAGGACTAGACTCTGACTCAGGGTGAGCATGGGCACTCAGCTCTAACTTTTAATACATGGCTATTGCCTATGGGAGATATGTGCACCACACAACCATGTTTGCTATAAGCTTTGCTGCTTCTACAGCATATAGACTGCTCCCTTGACAACTTGGGATGAGCCTCCTGAGCAGAGTAGAACTTCTGTGTTCCCAAGTTAGCGTGTTCATGCCATGTTGAATTGGAGGGGTATCACTGGCCTTGGCATTTTTTTGCTCCTAAATTAGAGAAAAACCAAAAAAAAAATTAGCCAAAAAAGTAACTCTGTACCTAACCATAAAAATAAGCCAGTGAAAGAGAGGACATAAACGTGGAAGGAAGCTGCTAGGAGAACAAAATGGCTGCTCTGGTACATGCAAAGCCTTCAAAGGAAAGAGAAAGAAGAAAGAAACTCGGTGGGGGTAGAGGAAGCCTAGGAAAAACATCTAAGTGCAGAGCACTGTTAGACCATTCCAATATTTCTTGTACAAAGTTAATAATTTATCCATAAATGTAGTGATATTCTAAATAGCAAAAGGAATAGTTGAAGTAAATGAAGAATCAGAGCTGAGTCCAACTTACTCAGAATACTTGTCAAACTATTTTAGGGCAGAATTCTAAGAGGCCAGAGTCTAGATTGAAGAAAAACCCCTCCAATACATAATCAAATGAAAATGCTCAGGACCAAGAGAACTTCTCTTTTTTTTTTTTTTTTTTTTTTTTTTTTTTGGTTTTTTTTTTATTTTATATATTTAACAGCTGGGGTTTTTTTTTTTTTTTTTCATCCCTTTTCCACTTTTTTTTTTTTGTTTTTTTTTTTATTCTAAACCTTTTCACTCTCCTTCTAAATCTAACATATGACTGTATAATATACAGAGAGAGGGAGGCTGACAATTCCCCACTAGAATCCTTAGAGATAGGAAGGGGGAAAGGTGGGAGATAAAGTGTGGTGCCCCCCAGCAGACCCTGGATGACCCCAGTTTTACATTTTTTTTTTTTTTTTTTGGATGGTTTTCAATGCCTTAAATTTAAGCAGCTGGGTTTTTTTTTTTTAATTCACCATCCTGTTCAACCTTTTGAATGATGGATTTGCCTTTTAATAGGAAATCTGCATTTCATTGTAAAGATGGAACACAATGTCCTTGGCTTGTGTTCTGTAGAAACAGGCCCTCTTTTGTACTGCATTCTTTAGCATATAGTGAAGACTGAAAATCCAGCAAGTTTATGTCAGATATTAAACACTGGAGGAAAACACACACATGCAGACAGGGGAACATGAAAAGCGTACTACTCATTTCTGAAGTACGAAATGTCATATTCATCCAAGGTTTTTGAGGACACATTGCTAAATTATTTCATAATCACAAGTTTTAAGACTGACAAAGAAGACATTTTATTCAGAATGACTTGGTTAATTAAAGTTGTAAGTCAAACAGAATTAAATGAAGCAGCAGCCACTCCAAGCAATGGAACAATATATCATGGCTATTTCTGAAAATCTTGGTGGTTTCAGAGAAAGAATATGTTCTGGTTTAAAAAAAAAAAAAACAACTTGAATCTGAGATAGCTTAAATAAACAAAAGGAACAGAGGAGGAGGGAACATATAGAGAACCACAATTTCTAAATTACAGTGAGTTTTAGCACCATCTTAATTAAGAAACTTCCTAAGTAATCTGTCAGTTCTAATAACATGCTCTCCAATATGGAAGCCACCAGCTACCCGCAGCTACTAAACTACTTGAAATGCAACGGAAACTGAGATACATATATATAAAAAAGATGCACAACTGATTCCAAAGATGTACCATGAAGTACTAAGAATGATGTTTTTAATCAACATTCTCATGAGTACTTCTAACAAAAGAAAATCTTACAACCTCATCAATGCTTTTCATATTAGTTTTAGGCGGAAATGATATCATGGATACCTTAGAGTACTATTAAACGTAATTTCTCCTGTTTATGTTTTGCCTTTGAAGGTGACTGTGAGTGAATTCAAATGACATGTGGCTTACACTGAATTTCTTTTGAGAGCACTGAACCCCATGCACTCACCAATCCTTTGCTCCTTCCCATCCATCCTGGCACCTTTCCCTTCTGAGTCCCGTTTTTTTTTGTTTTGTTTTTTTTTTTCCATGAGGTATATGCTGTATTCCCAGTCATCCAGGCTGAAACCTCACTGCCATTTCTGATAGTCTCTCTTCCCTCACCTCCTTTAGCCCATCAAGGTTATACCACACAATACTTAAAGCACTTCTTGAAGTTCTTGTTTGACATCCTTCTGTGCTACCCCAGGTCTCTGGAATCTCACAAACAGCCTGTCATAAATGCTTTCTACATAGACTCTGTCTTTTAGTCTCTAAGACCACCAGAGTGGGAATTTTTTTAAATAAATAATTTGAGAATTTCATACATGCATATAAGGTGTTTTGATCAAAATCCATCCCCACTCCCTCCCCCCTCCCCCTCAACTCCTCCTATATCTCCCCATCACTTTTTTCTGATAACTTCATGTACTCTTTCTTCTTCTTCGATTTTTTTAAATGGGGCTTTTGGCTACTCTAACATTTCCCTCCTCTGAAGAGATAACCCTAAAATTTTTTAAGGATTAGATAAAAGGTCCCAAATATTTTTGACATTTTTGGCCTTTGGAATGGAGTAGGTTGCTAAGAGGCCCAAGGGCATTAGAAATTTTTAAAAGTTATTCTGTTAAAATTTATTACAGGTCTTCAGTGTTTTCAATAACATTCTACTATTTATAAAAGAGTACCCACTAAACTCTCTAATGTGTCATTTTCAAACACCTAAAAATTGGCCCCATCATAATTTATCAGCATTGCTACAAGAGCAAGGAAGACCCCTTAAGGGCCTGGGTAGAGACCTAACTTTCCAGTTTACTAAGTCAATTGCTTGGTCCCAGGACCACTCCTAGGAAGGTGGGCTCACCTTAAGCCATGCTAAAGACATAGAGAGAAGAAGCAGTTAGTCAATGAGATGAACTTTTCATGCTAGGAATCCCTACCTCCCTGGGGCAGTTGCTAATGGGCTGGTAGCAGACCTTCCCATAAGTAGCTCTGTAAGTTCAGAAAAGCATAACCACTCTATTTCTTCTTTCTATCTCTTTTCTAAGCATGCTTTCCTTAACACTCTGGGCTGCCCCCAAATTTTGGGCTTTGTTACTGTTACTCTAAAGCTCCCCTCCCCTCCATGTGGCTGTTAGTCTGTCATGTGTTCAACCACCATGCCAGCTTTTAATAGTACGGTAAGTGCCCCCCTTCCACGAAGACAACTCTGGTTACAGAACATTACAGACCTCTTCTTTCTTTAGCTCTCAGACTTCTCAAACTTTTTTTCATAGGATATCTATAATAGCTAATCTTTTTATACTCAGTTTGCATCTTCAAGTAGATTGGAATCTCCTTGAGGCCAAGGACCATGCTATGTTTATTTTGTGTTTATGCCCAACAGCTACCACATTGTTGCAAGAACAGATGTTGCTTAACAAACATTTGATCGTGGGTAGCACATCACAAAATTCCAAGACGGTTCTTTTACTTACACTGTTTTGCTAAAACATATCTATCTGGATGTGACATAACACTTATCTTCAGTACTATAATTTGTTAGATGAAGTTTTACCAATCTAGATCAATATACCTGATTTGATTCACACAAACTTCATAACTCATACGAGTAGGCTAACAATCCAAGTATACTTGAAAGCAATACAAAAACAAAACACACAAAACTGCTCTTATGAGATATAACTGATAAAAAGTTTACAAAATGGCAGAGCATAAAGGAGATTAGGATAAAAATCGATAACTATATTAAAAATCCAACCATTGTATCATACATATATATTACTATATCCACTAATGACATCACACTCAATTTTAAATATATGATATTTGTTAAAATTCTTCATTGGTTTTTTCAAGCATGCTAAAACTTTATGGTAATATTTCTCAAGCTAATAAATAATAAGATTGGAAATAGGTTCCCATGACAGACTAATGGGGACTACTCCATGCTGCTGAGAAT